TGTTGTTTGGCGGGTCCGGGCTGGGGATTCGAACCCGCCACCTTAGGTGTACGTGGCTGGCGCCTTAGCCGGTTGAGCTATAGGCGCCGAGCCAGTACACCTACTTTATTCTCCACACTGAAGCCTGTGTAAATTTAAGTCAAGATCCTGTCATATCTCTGGGGTTTTTTTGTTTTTGTTTTTGTTTGAGACAGAGTCTCACTTTGTCGCCCTCGGTAGAGTGCCATAGCTCATAGCAACCTTAGTTTGGGCTCAAGTGATCCTCTTGCCTCAAGTTTTCTATTTTTAGTACAGACAGGGTCTCAATCTTGCTCAGGCTGGTCTCGAACTCCTGAGCTCAAGCAATCCTCCTCCCTCAGTCTCCCAGAGTGCTAGGATTATAGCTGTGAGCCACTGCACCTGGCTTCATACCTCTGTTTGAAACTTTTCAAAGGCTCCCTCCCATCTCAGAGTTAAGTTGAGCCTTTCCATACCTATAAAGGGCCTACAGTTACCCCTCTGATCTAATCCCCTACAGTTTTCCTTTGTTCACTGGGTTCTGGTACAGTGGCCTCCTGGCTGTCATTTGATGATGTTCACAACAGTCCTGCCAGGGGGCTTTTCCACCTGATGCTCTCTCTGCCTTGCCCATTTCAGTATGTCTTATTGCTGCATGGCTGGTTCCCTGATCTCAGCTCTTTACTCAAATGCCACCTTCTTAGTGATATCCTGTATAAAACAGCACCCTCCTCCCACTTATTCTGCTCAATTCTTAATCAGAGCACTTATTATATGCCTAACTGTATTTCTCCCCCTAGATACTAGAATATCAGCTCCATGAGTATAGAGCTGGTATCTGTTTTGCTATTGATTCCCTAGTGCCCAAAACAGTGTCTAGTACTAGTAGTAGAGTTGTCCCTCAGTATCTGCAGATGATTGTTTCCAGGATCCCTCCATCTCTGTTCCCCCACATAGATACCAAAATGCAAAGAGGCTCAAGCTCAAGTCCATTATATAAAATAGCATAGTATTTGCATAGAGCCTATGCACAACCTCCCATATACTTTAAATCATCTCTAGATTACTCATAATACCTAATACAATGTAAATGTTATGTAAATAGTTGTTATACTATACTGTGTATTTTTTCTTTTCTTTCTTTCTTTTCTTTTTTCTTTTTTTTTTTTTTTTTTT